CAAGGAACGATTGTATCCAAATACCACTCTTTATTTAAAAGCTGAAATAAGTTGTGAATGGAAAGAGAGAAAAGAAATTAGGAACCGGAGAACATATGATGAGGATTGACCCGGCCTGTGGACCATCGCGGTCCATCTGAACACAGAAACATGCCGAGGTGAGAAGCAAAAAGGAAGAGAGGGATCCGCACACAAAAGGCGCCAGGGCATGTGTTGGGAAAGCAGGCGTTCAAAGGCTTAGACACCAGTGGTGGCCAGAACAGCTGCGTAAGCACCCAGTCCCAACAATACAATATTTTTAGCAAAGATCACAATGATTTCACAAGAAAGCCAAGAATTACTCAGAGACCATAAGAAAAATCTTTTCTCCCTAAATGAAAGAAGTGTCCTTTGAGAGTATACAGAGGAATATCAAGAAAACGTAAAACTGCATAGGAACACGGTCCTTGTTTGTGGGTGTTGGCCTTCACCCAGAATTCTTTCCCAGCACCTGGTATTCCTCAGGTGAGGACTATGACTCAAGGAATCCAAATGTAGGCCTCAAAGTGGAGCTGAGAGGAGCCTTCCTTTAGGGAAACGGAGTCCCAGGGAGAAGTCACCTGCCCAGGGATGTACAGCTAACCAGTAGGAGGATCCTAATTAAAACAAGAACTCAAATGTCTTGGCCACCAGCCAGGCTGTGTGGCAGGATACCACACACCTTGGAACCCAGAATTCACTGCCTTTGACTTATTTCCAACACCAAACCCACTGGGAAGTTTCCCTCACTTGCATTTCTGTGATGTCGGAGTTTGCTGCTTTCTCCCTAGTTAACAAATGGAAGTTTATCAGTACCCACATCTTCAAAAGGGAGTCACTGCCGCTGCAAGCCGTGTTTAAACGGGGAGATTAAAGATCAGAAGGTGAGAAGGAGGTAAAACAACTTCCAGTCCCATAGGGCAGCTTGGACACTATCAGTGTATATTCTCTTCTGCAATGCCATTAAAGTGGAGGCAAAAATTAGGAACCCATGAAAAGACAGAATGAGAGAAGGCTGCAACAGATAGGAGACCTCACCAAAACCTTGGACGATATTAACAAAATTATATACTGGGGAGCTGCTAAACAGCAGGCATTTCTGTCTCACACTGTGGAGGCTGGGAGAGCAAGCTCAGGTGCCAGCGGATTTCACAGCTGGTGAAGACCTAGTCCTTGCTCTACAAGGTGCCCTGTCATGGGTACAAAGACACTGAGAGATTTCTAGGTTCCTTTTGATAAGGACACTGGCCCCATTCACAGGGGATTCACCTTCAAGACTGAATTACTTCCCAAAGTCCCCAGCTCCTTTAGGTGGGGCACAAACATTCAGTCTACAGCAGATATTCAAAAAAAAGGGAATGTCAATCAGAAGAGAGCTGTTTAAAAAGAGAGAGAGAGCGCGAGCTGTTGAAAGCAAAAAATTATGTGGCCAATTATGTCAAGTATGGTTTATTGGAGCAAAGAAAAACGAAACACAAACAATTTGTGATTTGGAGTACATTCTAAGAACCCTACCCGACAAAGCCATCAGACAGCATTTACAGAAAAACTTAAGTAAAACACAGAAAACAACTTAATTGGCTACAGCTTGGTTAATCAACCAGTCAACTGGATACAGCTTAACAAGTTAATTGGCTACAGGGCCTTCTGAACCAACCAACGTTCAGTTCCTATGACTAAACACTACATTGGTTTTGTCTGTTGAGCCCAATACAGGAATCTAGTCCCAATCAACAGCATTTTAGACAACGTTATGTAACAGAGCAAAGCTAATTCCTAGGATGATGGTGGTGGAACGTCCCAGGGGTAACAGCTGTGTAGCAGCCTGGAGAAAGCCCAAGTTCATTTGGAGCAAGAAGGAGAAAGGACAGCACTGGGAGAGGACCAACCGTATGCTCGATGCAACAGACCCTGTGAGAGGAGATTTTCAGCTCTGTAAGTTGGAAGCAAAACTTTGATAACGCATAGAAAGTTTAATGAAGAAAAATAACCCCAGGAAAAAAAATGTTATAAAATAGAAGAATTAAATTATATTTTGTGGTTCTACTATATATTTATATAACATATTAATATATCATTTATATATTTATATAACCATACTTCAACAAAAATTTAATATTGGTTTAACCAAAATTGTGAAATAATTATGACACGTAAAGCGAGAACATATGTGTGTATTAGTGGGTAGATTGTAAGGGAACTGAAAATTCTCATTTCTCATGGTGGAAAACCAATAGGTGATGGCTTAACTTAAAAGAAAATCTAAGCAGGGGTGGGCGTTGAGGCCAGCAGTTGAGATACCCATTCCTACTTTGGAGTGCCTGGGTTCTCTTCCCAGCTCTGACTCTTAACTCTGAACTTCTGCCACCACAGGCCCTGGGAGGCAGCAGTGATGGCTCAAGTAGCGAGTTCCTGCCACCCTCGTGGGAGACCTGGGTTGAGTTTTTTTTTGATTCCCAGCATCAATGCTGGCCCAGACCTAGCCATTGTGGGCATTTGGTGAATGAACTAGAAGATAGGAGCTCATTCTCTGTCTAGCTCTCAAATGAGTACTCAATAAAATTTAAAAATCAGTGAAAAATAAGCAAATTACTTGGAAACATGGAGGTGGCCGGCGCCGCAGCTCAATAGGCTAATCCTCCAACTAGCGGCACCGGCACACCGGGTTCTAGTCCCAATCGGGGCGCCAGATTCTGTCCCGGTTGCCCCTCTTCCAGTCCAGCTCTCTGCTCTGGCCCGGGAAGGCAGTGGAGGATGGCCCAAGTGCTTGGGCCCTGCACCCCATGGGAGACCAGGAGAAGCACCTGGCTTCTGCTTTGGATCAGCG